TCATAAAAATTCAAAATTATAAATTTGCATGGCGAATAAAAATTAATAATAATAATGGTAACTAAAATTATAATTTAATATACGAAATATAAATTTGCATGGCGAACAAAATTAATCGTAATAATAATAATTAAAATTATAATCTAATATTTGAAATATAAATTTGAATAGAGAACCAAATTAATAATAATAATGATGTTAACTAAACTTCTAATATTCAAAACCTAAATGATTAAGTGCAAACTATAACAATTTCTATAGCAGTATTTATTTTTTTTACTTTTTAAACAGGAGCATGAATATAACCTATTATAGAAAGGTTAATATAGATGGGTCCCTCAACCTCAGAAATTGGCTATCTTATAGCATAACTTTAGACAAAGTTTTTTGTCTATATTGTTTTATGTTTGGTGGCCCTAAGTCCAATACTTTTTGGACTCAACTTGGAATAAATAATTGGAAAAACATTAAGCGTGACTTAGAGAGACACGAAGCATCTTCTCTTCATAAAGATTGTGAATATGCAAACAGGACTTGGCTTGCAAATAAGCGCATTCAAGATCATTTGCTATCAAATAAGCTTGATATAATCATGGAAAATCGTAATATAGTTCATAATATTATCGATGCCATTATGTACCTTATAAAATGTAATATAGCCTTTTGGAGTTCTAATTCGAATGAAGGTAATTTTATGTGCCTCATAAAATTAATGGCAAAAACGGTTCCAACTTTACGTGCATACATGGATAACAGAGGAAAATTGCGGAGAAAAAAATCAGATAAAATTTCGAGATCTTATATAAATTTGCTGTCATATGGCTACGTGAAAAAAAATAACTGAAATTATTATGATAAAAATAATAAAAAGCATTATTCAAAAAATTAAAGAGAATCGTGCCTATAGCATCATATTAGATGGAACATATGATGTGTCTAAAAAAGAATGCATAGCTTTGCTTGTATGGTATATAGAAGATGATCTGCATCCACATCCTGTAGAAAGCATCATCTATGTTTTTACAACATCAGAAACCAGTGGGGAAAATATAAAGAAACATGTTTTTTTGTAAGTTTAATGATCTTGGTCTTCCTCTTGATTATTTGGTTGGACAAAGTATGGATGGTGCAGGGAATATGAGAGGAGTATACAAAGGTATGCAGGCTTTAATATTGAAAAAGGCACAAAAAGCCATCTATATTTGGTGCCATGCACATAGGCTAAATTTAGTAGTTGCTCATGTTTGTGGATGCAAAATTGAAATGAAAAAGGCAATGGGAATATTAGATGAGTTATATAATTTTATGAATGGAGTTAGACGTCAAGGTATGTTTGTTAAATATCAAATGAGAAAGTCCAAGAAATCTCTTGAAAGAATTAAAAACACAACAAGTAAATAAAATATTTTTAATGAAACTTATATATTTTCAGAAATTGGTCTTCATCCTACAAATCTGTAGAAATCTTTTTAGATGTTTTTGAACATATTTTAGCATCATTAGTTGAATTAAAAGATTCTAATGATCTAAGCACCTCTTCCATTGCCGATGGATTATTATCCAGAGTTAAGGATGAAAATTTTATATTAAGTCTATTTATTTATTAAGAAATATTGAAATGGAGACATGAGGCCTGTATTGAAATGCAGGCAATTGGTAATGATTTGGCTATGATAACCAAATTAATACAACATAAAAAAAATAAATTACAAAGACTAAAAGGTTAATATTAGTTACTATTTCTATAAATAATTTTAAAATATAACTAATGGAGACAATAAAATTACATTTCTTATCTACTAGTTTTTTGAAGAAGAATAATGTAATAACTGATTTGTATAATATGAAATCAATATTCAAATTGGATCAAACAAAATTCAATAATTATGTTGAACAAAAAAAAACAATTTGAATAAATTAAAAAATTTTAAATTATTATTTATTGTTATAGATATAAAACGGAAATATTTTTTCCTGTGCTAAATGCAATATTTAACCACCTAAATGATCGATTTAATTATGATTGTTTAAATTTTTTATCACAAATATCCATATTTACTCCTGCTGGAATTACGGATAATGAAAAAATAGAAGGATGGCAAATATCCAAATTTGTCATACTTATCAATTGGATGTCCAAAACATTATTGATGAATATAATGATTTTCGCTCTTTATATTTGGAGTCTCAATCAATTATTTTTTGCGAAGATCTTTTGAAAGTTAAAAAGAATAACGCGTTATATATCGATGAAAGTAATTTATTGATATTTTATTTGTAATTGTATATAATTAAAGGTATTGCAAACGAACAAACTACCGAAGAAAATATCAACAGCAAAATCATGACCAAAATAATAAAATGGATAAAATATTCTTTTATATTACCATACCTACTTTTAAATCAATTAAATTCTTATTCTAATTTAAATTTATTTTATATATATTTATTAACCCTTCCTACAACTTCCTGTTTAGCCAAAAGAGCCATGAGAGTAAAAATAAACAAAACTCGAATGCAGAATAAAATATCGGACCCATTTTTAGAAAATTTACTATTAATATCCAGCGAAATTGATGTTTTTAAAAAATTTACAATTGATTGATGATATTATAACACAGTTTGCATTAACATCTATAAGGTTATCCAAATTATTAATAAAATAAGTAATGTATCTTTTTCACAGCGAATATATATGCTTTTAAAAAATGTAAATTTAATTTAACATTTTATAATTTCAATGCAAAATATTATATAATTCATTTTATTCTAATATTTTATATAATAACTCTATCTACAATACATGTTTTTAATTAATTAAAAGGTAATATAGGTATGTGGAATCAAGCTAAATATACCTCTTTAAAATTACTCGTTTTATATCTTTTACAATAATTTAGATCTTTTTTATAGAAATATTAATATGTTATCTCATTTAATTCACTTATATATATTTTATGAAAATAAAGTGAATATCAACCAAATCATGAAAAGATTGCATTATTTAAATATAAGTTGATTATCACCTACAAATTTTTTAAATTTTTTTTCCATAAATAGGCTTGAAAGATTGTAAATAGAATTATGTTGTAAGGTTATAAATGGTGGCTTATTATAAGATTTTTTAAATAAAATCACTATAACATCGTAGGTCTGTAAATTTTGTAGCCGAAGGCCGCGGGATTTTTTTTAGGTGGGTATGGGTAGATTTTGGAGGGGGTTAGCCTCCATCAAATTTTCTGCCATGTAGACGCTGATCATGAACGTTTTATTCGTAATTATACATTGTAAAGCGGCGCTATTACATAGATTACGAGCGTGAAAGTACCTTGGCGGTGGTCGAAAGATGAACAAAATTCCTTCGATGAGGTTAAGAAATTATTGTCATCCGAGGAAAAGTTAATTCCTTATAACACGGAGTTGCGCATAATTTTGGAATGCGACGCATCTGATTCAGGATTAGGGGCTGTGCTGTTACATCAATTAGTAGATGGAAGGACAAAACCTATTTCGTTCGCGTCACGTACTTTTTTAGAATCAGAGAAACACTACGCTTGATTGATAAAGAAGCTCGAGCGCTTTTATTTGGTATTGAAAAATTTCATTCATTTATTTATGGTAGAAATTTTTAACTTCGAACTGATCATAAACCATTAGAGCGATTATTTGATAAGAAACGCGATTTACCTAAAATTTCTAATAATCGTTTGACACGTTGGGCCTGGAAGATGGCTTCTTATGATTTTACAATAGAATATAGACCTGGTAATAAAAATGTAATGGCCGACGCATTATCAAGGGCTTCCGATATTAGACGGAAGAGAATCAAGATTCTAAACATGCTTTGGATATTCGAAGTATTAATTTGGATGATATGCAATTGTAAGAAAATATTCTACGAAAAGAGTAGAAGCAAGATTTAATAGTAAAAAAGTAGCAATACACATTCAGCAAAGTTGGCGAAACTTTGATCGTCATAAAGATAAAGAAATAGTTAATTTTTATAAACGACGGGAAGAGCTTTCTGTCGATCGTGATATTATAGAGTGGAATGGGAGATTGGTTATTCCTAATAAATAAAGAAATGCAGTGTTAGGAATAATTCACCGAGAACATCCTGGGAAAAATGTAATGAAATCTATTGTTCATCAAGAAACCGTAAACCAACAAAGAAGTTTATTGAGGAAATCTAACTTTAAAATGTTTGAAGGAAATGTAATAAATTACATAAAATATTAATTATAGATATATATAAAAAATAGAATTAAACATTCGAATTAATCAATTATAAAAATGTGATTATTTTAAAATAAAAAATAACTAATAAGTCGTAGTCGTATTTATTATTACACTAGTATTTTAAATTTTAAAATGGGATCCACTAATCAACTTCCCCAGTCTATTCTTTTCGGCTACCAATCTCCTAAAAAGTTTCAAATCTAAAACAAAAATTTTGAAATAAACTCAAGTTAAAAAAAAGAACTAAAAATAATAGCAATATTAATTTATAATAGATACTAGGGTTGTAGAACTAGTATCAAAACCTTTGCAAAAGGCTTAAAACAAGGTTTGTAAAATTTTATTACTATACCTAATGGTTTTAAAACTTTTTCTAGTGTCAAAAATTTTAACTAGACTTAGAACAAAATCTTAAAATATTTTATAATGGCAGCGCCAATTTATTACTAGAACCAAAGATTTTATAACATCTCTCTAATATTGAAAACTCTAAACCCTTGCTATATATTTTGTTGACCCAGCAGGTGAACCCATTAGGCCGATCTAGCGAGCCGACCCGATGTGTATGCTCATGAGGCCCTTTAGGTCGGGTCTGATCTATGAACCAATAGGTTGGCTCGGATGAAGGTCGTTATTTTACGGCTCGGACCTTGCTGGATCGATCCCCTACCCGACCCAGTAATTTAACAACACTACATTAGATTAAGTAATTAGAGTTTACTACCTAAAACAATCCATAATATTATAATCAATCAATTTTCTAAATGAGCTGGTTTAATGATAACTTTAATATGACTTGGTCCCAAAATTTAATAATGAGAATTTTAAAATTGGGACCTATTCCAAGACACATAGCTTTTATTATGGATGGTAATAGAAGGTATGCCAAAAAAATTGGTATAACACGTAATTTTGGTCACCTTAAAGGTTTTGAAACGCTCTCTATGGTATGCCAAATGCATATCATTATATTATATAATTTACTACAGATATTGCATTGTGGTTTGAAATTGGGGTTTAAAGAAGTTACAGTTTATGCATTTAGTATTGAGAATCTTAAAAGATCAAAAGATGAAATTGATGAATTAATGGAATTAGCTAAAGAAAAATTTGAAAAGTTGCTACAAGAAAAGTTAATTTATATTTATACCTGGTGTAACTTGGTTATTTTAGAAGCATGTTAGATAAATATAGAATAAGAATTCGGGTTTGGGGAAATTTGTCCTTTGCTGATGAAAAATTGTTGCAATTGATTAATTATATTACATGTATCACCAAACACAATGAAAAGTATATTAATTATTTTTGTTAATGGATATTATAAATATAAATTATCTTTACACAAATTTATATTTTTTTAATATTCTAATATACATATTAATAATTTAAACATTTTTACAATTTAACATAATTATTTCAAATAGACTCTAAAATTTTATAATAATATTTAATATATAATAATTTTTGCTGTATTCTAAGCTATTTTAAAGAATATTTAATTGAAAATAGTTTATTAATATAAATATAACCATTAATAACTTTAAATGTTATTAACTCCAAAATTGGACATATATTTTAAAATATTCATGAGATATAAGTGAGATATCTGCAATGGACAGGTTTTTAACCCTCTTGAATGTAGGACATATTTTAAACAATAAGTGGCTGGGTGAGTCAGTTATAAATACATTTTAAATAACAAGTGGATGGACAAGCAGCTTATTTTTTTATATAAAATCAGCAGATTCCTGCCCATGGAAATTAAAATCCTTCATTTTAATTATTTGGTAATCTATTTTTAATATACAGCCATAATTATACAATTTTATATATAATAAATAAAATTTTATTGGTTAAATTTCATATTACTTATATTTTTTTAATATTTCTTGTGACAGATTAAACAGCTAATATAAAAAAGTGTTGGTTGGATAAATTTTATTAAACTCATCTTAATTTTTGAGATATTCAAAGTGTCTTTGCTAAATAAAATATATTCATATAAATATTTTCCTTTTATTTATAAAATGTTAGATATATCAGACTAAATTTTTCAGCTCATATGCTGAAGACAATTCTAAGTAATATATTTTAACCAAATTTTATTTTGGAAAATACTCTCAGATAAGAAATATTTTGTCAACTGCAAAATTGCTGATAAGATATTTTTGAAAAGGTGGTAATGTAAACATCTAGACAAGACCCTAGTACTCTAAAAAAAAAATAGTACTAAAATGGGCAAATTATAGAAGCGGGTTTTGTTTTTTTAAGATTTAAGGTAAATTTTTTTTATTTCTTTTTCTAATAGTATTAAAATAGCCATAGACTCATGTTATCATAGACTGCTCAAATTAATACAAAAAACGTCAATCAAATTTAGCCAATTCTTTTAATAAATATTTGTCTAATAAAAATGATTATAGCATAAACTGTCCAATGGTAATCACCATACCAAATTTAACATTTATTCAATTTGGCTACCAGTTCTATTTATAAATCATATAGAAAACTCTGTGATAATATTATTATGGTATGCAAATATATGCTTAAATTTCAGAATAAACTTGATGGAAGATTTAAAGACTCAACTGGAAAAAATTATCTGCAAAATTTACAAGATTAATATTATAAGAAACTATTAATGATATTTTCACAGAATAACTAATTACATTTTTTTATAATCATTTATTAATTATATTTTTAGATTTACCATCAAATATACTTGATTTTGTTACAATTATAGATTCACATAATCATTTTAAAACCTATGAATAATGATTACCATCAAAAATTCACTAATCTATTGAAACAAATTCTCTAAAAAGATAAGCACACTATTTATTAATTATAATTTTCTTATTTCTCTATTTTTACCAATAATCTATGTAAATTACTGTCAATCAGTGGATCCGGCCTTATCTACAAGAGATACAATCATCCCTCTTTAATTAAATGGGCCCTGACAGTAGGGTAAAATTTACTGCTAAACAGTGGATGCAAATTCGCCACTGGATACAGCCTCTTTTGCGTGGTGGAAGCCACTTAATTGAGTGTTTCCCAAGTGAAGGACAACCAGTTCTAACACATTTTACCATGTATGTCTCTAGGAATTTATGAGTAAAACAATTAATGAAATGTTCTCGAAATTTGTTATCAAAAGCATTTTTAAAGTATACTTTGATAATATCCATGTTAGGAAGAGAATTCTGAATATAATACGAATGGCATGCTATTTTGACTTCTCCCTTAACACTCAATCCTAATTGCTATGTATACCTAATAAATTAAGAATCTGGATTTTGCATAGCAATTATTTTGCTAATTCTAAATTGCCAATTGCAATGGGATGTATACCACCACATAGTTTTTGTGACATAATCAGGTTGATCCTCACCCATTTTAAAATATCGGTTATCGGCCAATATTATAAAATTTTCCGATCCGATCCGTTAAAAAAATGGCGTTTTTAACAAAAATAAAATGTTGTAAATTTTTTAAAAAAAAGTCATATCTAAAATCATTTATTTTTATAATTTAAATCCAAATTCATTTTTGTGTTTATTATTTTAATAATATTTAATTAATAAACATTTTGCCATATTGTTATTTTTTGTGCACTTTCTGTTTATAAAAGTGTGTGATAATCTCTGTAGAATCTGTTTTTAGTGAAGCTGGTAATATTGACATTTTAATCGCCGCAGGCTGACCTCTGATAAATTGGAAATTTTGATATTTCTAAAAAGAAATCTTCGATATATTAAATATTATTTTTTTTTTAAAATAATATATTTATTACTTATTATGTATATAGATTAATGTTATTACTTATTATATAAAAGTAATTTAACAATAAAAATATTTTATATACTTTTAGAATTGCAATTGAATTTATAACTGATCATTATAATATATATAAATGACATAAGTTATGGTATAGTTAGATTATAGATGTTATACTAATTAAAAGTATATTAAAAATTAGAACCAATGGTATGTTTAGAAAATACAAATTAGATATGATATCGGATTGATAATCGGCCAATATCAATTTAATATATGGAATATCGGATTGGATCGGCCTCCAAAAAGTGGAATCGGTACACCCCTATAATTCATAAAAACATAAAACTTTATAAATACAGATTATTGGCCTAAAAATATGATATTTTTAAATTTATGATGAAATAAAATGTTTTTATATCTATGGACTATGAGTTTAATTAGTATTTAGAAATGACTAAGGTTATATATTTGGATACGTTGTTTTTAGGTGCACATAAACTTTGATTGTTTGCTGAGATTTATTACAAGTTCTTATATTCATGATTACATTTTTTTCACATTGCTCGATTCTTCTCTTTAATCTAATCTCATTAAAAGAATTCCAAATTTTTTTTATGACCCGCCATAGATGAATAAGAAATATGCCTGAAATGATTTTATTATAAAATTAATCAAGTAAACCAAAAATTTTACAATTATACATATATCATTATAACTTATCTGATTCAATTTTTTTTATTGGTACCTGATCCTAACAAATTTTAGTTACCCAGATAAGTCTGGTATAACGTGTGAAAGTGATTTATGAGATTTCGAAATCTCACCACATCAAAATTCCAAGGATGGGTTGTGAGATTTTTATATAAATGGTCCCCAATATTTCTGAAGCAATAAATCTAAGTAAAAATTTTCATGTTATTAACATTATAATATAGAGGCATTAATATGGTATAAAACCTAACTATGTAATTATAATATATGGCTATTTTAATTAGTGAACTGCATCGGGCCTAATTTTTCAAGCCCGACCCAGCTCGAAATTTTTTTAAAAAGTTTTGCCGACCCGGCCCGAATTTATTTAAATATAGAAATTAATTTTTATAATTACTCAAAATAAAAGATATATGTTATATGGCGTCTAGTTTTTATAAATAAAATATAATATTTTTATTTTAAATAAAAAATTCAACATATAATTGATAAATATAGATATATTTAAAAAAAAATTCAAGACCCGGCCCAAAGCCCGTTCGGGTCAGGTACGGGCCGGGCTTACTTTTGCAGATCTCTAATTTTAATAATGCTTTGCAAGAGATATATATATTGTTCCATTTCAAGAGTTAATCTTTATATTTTTAGATTATCAGGTCAAATATTGGGAAATATTAAATCAATAAAGTAAAGGATATAATAAAATTTCTATTTTATATATATATAAATTTAATTGCATATAATTAAATTCGATTATTTAAAATTATATACAACCTTATAAGTGTCGTGGGTGGACTTGTTGGCGAGAGTTTACATTAACTACCCGGAATCTGGATATGTAGATCCATATTGGTTTTTTTAAATGTAATTGTTTTGCGTTTTTATTTACCTAAACAAAACTAGGTATAATATCTAAAAGCCCGATGCCGCTTATCTCTAGTCTACATTTTATATCTCATCTGTATTTTGTACCAAAAAGTGTATAGGTAGATATGGTTAAGAAAATGGATAGGAACTAATCAATAATCATGAGTGATACCTTGGCAATATATTAAGATTACTATTTGTAATTATAGTTTAGTAATATTGAGAAAGGGAAAACATCCTTACTAACATTCTAATTTATACAATGATAATAGAATAATATTGTACAAGTTTAAGTTAATTAAATGGGTTTTGAAGACTACGATCCCATAGTTATCCAGAGGCGCCTTAACATTTGCTCCTCAGATTTCTTATACAAGTAATCGACATTAATTTATTGACAAAAATTGGGGGATATTTTTTTTGAAATATAAAATACGAATTATTCAAAAAAAAAGGAATATATTATTTCGGCCATCGGGTTACGACAAAAATTATTATGAAACATTTCAAATGCTTAGAAATAATATTTTAAAATCCATCTCTATCTTATTTTGTACTTATATTTGAATTGGGTCACCAATATTAAAATAAATTTCATAATTTGGCATCTTATAAAAATATTCAATGAAAATAAGAAGAAAGACGAAGAACTTTAATGATATAAATTTATTTATACATAATTAAAAATTTCATGCAAAATATAATTGTTTATCATTTTAATAACCTCTGTGGTTATTTCACATCATAATTTATTTCAAATCTGACGTTGAGACAATTTATGCTAAGCGTATTGAAATTCATGTGAGATTTTAAAAAAATCCATGAAATTTTGAAATATTGAATGCCGTGAGATTTTAAAAATTTAAATGCCCGCAATGTATTTGAGGCGATGAAAATCAAAATCTCACGATTTCACTTTCACACGGTATTAGCCATGAGATTTTGATGGTGTGAGATTATAAAACTACACGGTTTTTACTTTAACACATTATACTTGTATCAGATCTTATAAAATAAATATTTATTAACTCACTTATTGTTGATTAATTTACTTAATTTAAATACAATAATTTATTGATTTATAAAAATTTTTTAAATATACATAATATATGTATATAAAATAACCTGTCAAGATCCAGCTATTTTAAAAGAAGCCGCGGATTCAAAATGATAAGATCCGAACCTTTTCCCAATCTGGTACATCTTTAAAATTAATAATAAAATTTTGGCAAAAATAATCCATGATTTATTTAAATACACCCCACTCTTAAACTGTTAAACCTCATAATCCACTGACATGACTGTGTTGATTTTTTAATATTAATTTTTAATTTGTGGCCAGCCTGATAAAACGAGCCATTAAATTATTATACACTCTTTAAAATTTTTTTATATGGTTTATTTAAGTGGCCATAAACCAACCTTATTGTTTTAATCGCATAAAACAAGGTCTGGTTAAAGTAAAATCAGTTTGTCTGGGTAAATCCATGTTTAATTAGACTTTTTATCATAAGTTTGAAAAAATCATTAAATATATTTCTCTTGAAAATTACCTTATTTAATCGCAGAATCTAACATCTTCCAAATTTTAATTTTTATATAAAAAAATACTGCCCATTTTGATTAATTTAAACTAAATAACCAGAGCCTTAATATAATTTATAATAAAATATTATTACTTACACTACAAAATTCCCAATATTTCACTTTCTAAAATTGATATTAAACATAAACAAGATAAGCAAGGAATTCCTATTATATAGTATATTTATAAATTATCATTTATTTTTAATAAAATATTATTACCTATAATATACTATAAAAGCTTACATTTTAATTGTATAAAATAAAACGATATAAGCAACCTATTACTATCATTTATAATAAAATACTACATATAAAAATCATAAAATTTTGAAAAATACGAAGAAAAAAAATGAATCCACGGAATTTTTTTTTTGATACTTAGAGAATCCTCCACCTTTAAAAAGGGTTCATATCTGAGTTCAGAAATAATATGAAGCTTGCCCCATTCGAAGAAAATATTTAATTTAATGATTAAAACTTTTCGAGTCTTAAAGTGAACTTGGATTAGATCGAGTGGTTTAAACAGGTTTGGCAAAAATCGCGATTTTTTAGAATAGCATGTTTTAATTTAGAGATTTTGTAATGTTGATTTATTATTTGGCTGTTGCTAAAAGATTTAGATATTTTTTCATAATTCTGTTGGCTATTAGAAAACTTTATAAAAATTAATAAGACTTAAAATTGATTTTTTTTTACAAGAAAGTTGCTTTTTACTCCTGAAACTCATACAATCTTTAATCTCAGCCTGTATATAAAAAAGTGGAATTAAGAGGTTTAAATGAGTAATTATTTTAAATACCTCTAAAAACTCCAAATTTTTTATTAAAAATAATTATCAACTACTGTTAAAATTTCAAGAAGCATATTGCTTTTCTTTAAACATTATTTAATTAACTTATATACAAAATATAATATAGCGCAACCTTGAATATATGTTTTTTCTACACATCAACCGATGAAACAGTATCGGCCATTAATGCATTATCTAATATTGCAGCAAAAAATATTTTCGATATCAAGTTAAAATTTTTCTTTTAATTTCTTTGAATATAATTATATTTTTTTAAAATATTAGTAACATAAAAGATGATATTATTATCAAAGATCACTTATTTACGAAAAATTCATTGGATATTGATTTGTTAGTGAGAACCTCAGGGGAAACTAGAATCAGCGATTTTTTGACTTGGCAGGTTAAAAATATCTATTTTGTATTTTTTAGTTTTATATAATATATATAGATTGGATACTCATGCCTTTATTTTGTCGATATTCTTTGGCCTGAATTCACAATTTGGCAATTATTTAAAGCAGTACTATTTTATCAATTTAATTATATAGCGATACAAGTATATTATTAATTTAGCATATATATAAATTATATAACAAAATTATTAATAGAAATTAAAAAAGCAACTGACACAAGCACTATATTGACAAATATCAATTAACCAATTCTAGGTGATTTGCTTAGAAATTCTTTGAGATCATTCGAAATATTTTTCAGATCAATCCCAGGATATAAATCCAAATGAGATTTATTACTAATTTCGCTAACATTTATAGGATTGTTTTGGATATTTTTTGTTGTAAATTTATCTTTATGTGTTTTGGGCACAAAAAATTGGAACAATTTATAATTATTATATAAACTAAACATATCTTCACGATCCAAATTATACTTTATTGCTAACATCTTAACTAAATTTTTTGTATCTGGTTCAAAAATGTTTTGTATTTGAGTATTATTTAATTTACTGTTTTCATGTACTTTTTTCAATTTATTATATTCCGAAAAAATGTTCAAAATATGAATGGCTTGCTTTAGACTTAATTTACCATTACTAATATTTTTTGGTTCAGCATATCCTAGTTCTAACATCTTTGATTTTTTATATACTGGCAATGGTCTTGATTTCGTGTTATCAAATGGAATTATAGATATTTGATCTGATTTCTGTATTTATATAAAATGTATAGTATAATAATTTAATATATGAATTATAGTACATATATATTGATTCATTTTTAATAAATTATTTAATCAAAATTTTATATACAAATAATATCCTAGTATAACAAGCTTATTTATGTAACTTAGTATGAAATAAATTTAGATTATAAAATATTTTAGTCGATTTTTAAAATATAAGCGCTTCTAAATAGTGTTTTTAAATGGCTCAATTTGAACCGATTTTTAAAAACGGCTAACTCAATATATCATTCAAAAAAATATTACGCAAGCCTGAATATTTTGCTCATAGATGGCAGAAAGGTTTGTACATCTATTAGAAAAATCTTAAGGCATAGGCAATATTTTTCTGGCTAAAATATAGTTAGCCGTTTTTAAAAATCGGCTCAAATCGAGCCATTTAACAACACTACTTCCAAATTAAGCGTTTTGTAATTACTTTGCAACAGGTAACTTTTTTGCGTTTTTAATTGTTTTTATTTATATTTTACATATTACACCTTTTTTTAAAAAAAAATACCGCTTCGATTTATACAATATATTATAAAGATGCACCGATATTTTGTCTTTTTGCCGATATAAAATTATTCTACCCTTAGTGTTGTATTATGCAAATTTAGTTAAAAGATAGTTGTACTTATATTTGTTATATGCAAAATAAATTTTACATTTTTTTATAGTTTATGGAATAAAATTAATTTAAATGATGGATTTTTATTTTATGTGTTTATTTCTTCGAAAAATTATTATCTTAATATGCAAATACTTATGATTTTTAATGGCTATCAAAAAATATATAAATAGCGGGTATGACTAAATACTGAATTGCTAAAAAGCAATTAATCATAATCAATCAAAATTTTATTATGTATATTTTATTTAATGAAAATTTTTAAACTTTTTTGAAAATATACTTAAATTATTTTTTTATTAAATGAAGGATACTAATTAAATATCATATAATATATAATTTTATTTTGAGTTAATATTATTATAAAAGAAATATTTTCATAGCTTATTAAAACATAAATAAATTTTTTTCAATTTTAAAAATTAACAAATATATATCCGTAAGTGGGCGTTATATGCGTAAATATGTAAGTATCATTTTAGGAAACCGGAATGATGATTGGATAGCGCTTTTTTTATATTTGGGTATATATACATATGAAAAACCTAAAAATAAAAATTTAGGTTTCTTTGATGTTTAATCTATGAGTAGGTTTAGAATAGTAAAATAATGGAAATTTTCTAAGGTAAATATTGCTGGCGTTATTTATCAAAATCTCTTAATTTTTGTTTTATATGTGTATATTTACGTGCTAAGCATTATCCTAAAAAATTTTTTGAAAATAATTTGATTTGACCGATTGCCGAGCTTAAAACCGACCATTTACTAAATATTCGATTGACCAAATTTACTAGTAATACAATTTGAAAAATGTTGATTTTCGTTTTATATATCTATAAATACGTGTAAAACATAATCCCAAAAAATATTTTTAAAATATCTTTGGCGGATAACCGACTCGTAGCCCACCCAATGACTAAATAATGAATTGCTGGCGTTTTAAATCAAAATATCTTAATTTTTGTTTTATATGTGTATATTTACGTGCTAAGCATTATCCTAAAATATTTTTTGAAAATAATTTGATTTGACCGATTGCCGAGCTTAAAACCGACCATTTACTAAATATTCGATTGACCAAATTTACTATAAATTCTTAGTTATAACATTTATATAATTTTTGTATTAACACTTAAAATTTATGCAATACTATATGCTAAAGTATTTTTATTTTTATATAATAAATAAAATCTATAATACTCTCTAAAATTGTGTATGTGCAAATATTTCAGATAATTTTAATTATCTAAGAGATAAGCAATTGAGATTCAAAAAAGGGGCGTTTAAACCCCCTCCCCATGATTATATTCTTTCTAATATTTTTTTATTTTCCTTTATTATTTATATTCGAAATTATTATATTTTCCAGAATATTTTAAAAATATTTGGCATTATTTTAAAAATAAAAAAATTTGAGAGAAGTATATAAAAAATAATAAACAAATACTTTTAAATAATAGCCGTTAAAATTTAAAATTGTTTTATAATTATAAATCATATTTTTGTTATTAAAATGTCTGATCAGTTCTCAAAGTTTTTATTTTGGTAAAATATATATTTAATAATATATTTTAAAATTTTATTATAGGTTAAAGGAAAAGCATGATATGGCTCTCGAAATTCTTAAAAGGATGAAAAATGAAAATATTTTAATTTTTCTCTATTCTATATCATCAAAAGCATTCAAAAAATAAAAGATAATTTTATTAAATTATTGTTAAACTAAAATACATTTGATTCATTAATTGTAATAAAAACAAAGGCGCATAAATATATATAATTAAATGAGGATCACATATTTTCTACTATCTTAATCTATATTTGATATCATAATTTCCTCATATAATTCAAAAAAAATTAACAAAATAGAAATTATGAATAAGAAATTAAATATAATATTGTAATGTATACGATATGAATAAAAATCAAAAACAAATTTAATACCTATGCGCGATGCGAATTAAAAAAATATCAGTAAACATAATTTTTTGGATAAAATCAAAAAAAAAAGGGATTGATAAAGTTGATTATATGATGGAGTATTTAATGATTAGGATGAAGCAGTCTGTCTGATACAAAAATTTATTGTAAAATTAAAAGATTTATTTGATATATATATGTAAAACGAAAATCAACATTTTTCAAATTGTATTACTAGTAAATTTGGTCAATCGAATATTTAGTAAATGGTCGGTTTTAAGCTCGGCAATCGGTCAAATCAAATTATTTTCAAAAAATTTTTTAGGATAATGCTTAGCACGTAAATATACACATATAAAACAAAAATTAAGATATTTTGATTTAAAACGCCAGCAATTAATTATTTAGTCATTGGGTGGGCTACGAGTCGGTTATCCGCCAAATAGCGATATTTTAAAAATATTTTTTGGGATTATGTTTTACACGTATTTATAGATATATAAAACGAAAATCAACATTTTTCAAATTGTATTACTAGTAAATTTGGTCAATCGAATATTTAGTAAATGGTCGGTTTTAAGCTCGACAATCGGTCAAATCAAATTATTTTCAAAAATTTTTTTAGGATAATGCTTAGCACGTAAATATACACATATAAAACAAAAATTAAGAGATTTTGATAAATAACGCCAGCAATATTTACCTTAGAAAATTTCCATTATTTTACTATTCTAAACCTACTCATAGATTAAACATCAAAGAAACCTAAATTTTTTTTTTATTTTTAGGTTTTTCATATGTATATATACCCAAATATAATAAAAAGCGCTATCCAATCATCATTCCGGTTTCCTAAAATGATACTTACATATTTACGCATATAACGCCCACTTACGGATATATATTTGTTAATTTTTAAAATTGAAAAAAATTTATTTATGTTTTAATAAGCTATGAAAATATTTCTTTTGTAATAATATTAACTCAAAATAAAATTATGTATTATATGATATTTAATTAGTATCCTTCATTTAATAAAAAAATAATTTAAGTATATTTTCAAAAAAGTTTTAAAAATTTTCATTAAATAAAATATACATAATAAAATTTTGATTGATTATGATTAATTGCTTTTTAGCAATTCAGTATTTAGTCATACCGATAAATAGCCAAGAAAAATAATTATAATTCACCCGATGATATTTTGATTATTAATTTAATAAAAGAATTGACCGATGATGTTTTGATTATTAATTTAATAAAAGAATTTACAGACGATATTTTGATTATTAATTTTATAAAAGAATTTACAGACGATATTTTGACTATTATTTGGATTTGATAGAAGTTGAATAAAGAGTAAAAGTAGTGAATTAGTATTAGAAATTAATAAAAATTATATATTTATTTATTTATTATTAGTTCCATAGATATTCAGTCTCTCCCACTAGCCTCAGCAATATAAATATCAATCCCATATTGGTACAGTGGTGCCTTACAGCGATTGATCCAGGCTTTAGAAGATCAAAAGTCAGTCTAATTATACATTGGAACAAGGTAAAAAAAATAATAAAAAATATATATAAATTTTTGATAATTTCGGTTCTCTTATTGATGTTATATAAATTTTGGATCTTGGTATTGGTTTTATTCGTATGTTTATATTTATTTAATTGTTTAAGATTAGTTAAAATTATTTTAATCAAGTGGTTATTGAGTACACTTTAATGTATATTACGCAAATAAATTTATTAAGTTTAATACTTGAAAATATAAGTATAATTATATTTTTTTTGCTAATTTTAAGTTTCACGTTAGGTTTAATTATAGGTAAAAATACGACTTACGTTAAGATAGAGATTAAAGAGTTTGAAAATATTAAGAGAGGAAGATAAGAAAAGAAATATATAAAACTTCATACGAACGGATAATTACAGACAGATAAGTTGCTATAGCTGTGGTCAGCCAGGCCATATGTCGCGTGATTGTGATTTAACAAAAGATTTGAAATGCGCGAGATGTGGCAGGAATGGCCATTTAGCTATAAGATGTAGATTAAACAATATAATTGTGGCAGGAATGGCCATTTAGCTATAAGATGTAGATTAAACAATATAATTGTGAGATGTAATATTTGTGGCCAGGATGGACACACTCAAGAAAAATGTAACAAATGACTAAGAAAGAAATATTTTGATAATGAATTTAATAATTTTTTTAATGTTGATAATTTAGTAGAAAATAAGAATAAATATTTTAATTATAAATTTGGTAATAATAGTTTTTCTAATTTTAGTTCAGGGAAAATTAAGTATTTTAATTTTAATGATAGATTAGATAATTATAATAATTTTGTTAATGTTAATAATTGTAGTAAAAATAAGTATTTTAATTTTAATAATGATAATGTTGATAAGGCTAGTGCAAGTAAGAATAATTACTGTAATAAGAACGATAAATTTTGCGATGATAAAAAGTGTTTTAACGTTGATAATTAAAATTCAAGCGATATTAATAGAAGTGATATAAAAATAAAAAAT